GGCAGGGGGACGGGGGTGGCAGGAGGGGCTCTGGGGGGGGGGACAGGGGCCGGTGGCACCGGTGGCACCCGCGCTGTCCCCCCGCAGGAGAAGAAGCCCGAGGTCCCCAAACTCTCCAAGAAGAAGCTGCGGCGCATGAACCGCTTCACGGTGGCCGAGCTGAAGCAGGTGACAATTCTGGGGACACCTCTTTGTCCCCTCCCCCCATCTCCAGGGGTGCCCAGGGGACAGGGACACGGTGGGCACGGCACCCAGGGGTGGGGACAGCAGGGCTGGGGGACCCTGTGTCTCCTGGGAGCCTGGTTGGGGACACCCGAGCCACCCCAGGGATGGCCCGTGCCCGGGAAGTGTCACCTGCACCACCTCAGAGGTCCTTGAGGTCACCTTGAGAGGCCCTTGGGGACACTAGTGCCACCTCGGGGTCCTTGTACCCACCCAGGGATCGATGGTGCCACCCTTGGCTGCCCAGTGTTGTCCTTGGGAGCCTCTTGGGGACAGCGGTGTCACCTTGGGGTGTCCGATGTTCCCTTTGGGACTCTCAGGGACCCTCGTGCCACCCTGGGGTCCTTGTGCCCAGCCATGAAGGTCTCTGGGGCCAGCGGTGCCCCCATGGGATGTTCTGTACCCGACCATGAAGTTCTGTGGTGCCATCTTGAGGTCTCCAGTGTTCCCCTTGTGACCCCACCAGGGTCCCTAGTGCCACCCTGGAGTCCTTGTGTCCACCCGTGAAGCTCTCTGGGGCCACCAGTGTCACCATGGGCTCCTTGTGCCCACCCATGAAGGTCTCTGGGGCCACCTCGGTTCCCCTGATGTTCATCTTGTCACCTCACCGGGGTCCCTAGTGCCACCATGGGGTGCCTGGTCTTTGTTTTGGGGCCACTAGTGCCCCCCTGGGGTCCTTGTGCTCAACCATGAAGCTCACTGGAGCCGCCAGTGCCACCACGGGATGCTCTGTATCCACCCGTGAAGTTCTCTGGTGACACCTTGAGGGCTCTCAAGTTCATCACGTCACCCCACGGGGGTCCCTAGTGCCATCATGGGGTCCTTGTACCCAACCATGAAGCTCTCTGGGGCCACCGGTGCCACCACAGGATGCTCTCCATCCACCCGTGAAGTTCTCTGGTGACACCTTGAGGTCCTCATCTCCTCCTGGTGTCCCCGCAGCTGGTGGCCCGCCCGGACGTGGTGGAGATGCACGACGTGACGGCGCAGGACCCCAAGCTCCTGGTGCACCTCAAGGCCACCCGCAACTCGGTGCCCGTCCCCCGCCACTGGTGCTTCAAGCGCAAGTACCTGCAGGGCAAGAGGGGCATCGAGAAGCCCCCCTTCGAGCTGCCCGACTTCATCAAGCGCACGGGCATCCAGGAGATGCGCGAGGCCCTGCAGGAGAAGGTGGGACGTCCCCCCTTGGTGTCACCCGGGGCGTTGGGGACAGCGGGGGGACTTATCTGGGAAGTTTCGGGTGGGGGGTTGGGAGGCTCTAGGTGGGCAGCTGGAGCTCGGGGGGACACAATGGTTGGGCATTTAGGACTTCAGGGACGTTAGAGGTGCCCATCTGGAGTCTTGAAAAGGTCTTAGTTGGCCATCGGGGCCTTTGGGGACATCATCGGTGGCCATCTAGGGCTTTAGGGACACCAGGAGGCCCGGTTTGGGATTTGGGGAGGTTCTAGATGGGCTTTTGGGGCTTGAGGGGCACAATGGATGGGCATCAGGGGTCTTGGGGACATTGTAGGTACCCACTTGGAGCTTTGAGAAGGTCTTAGTTGGCCATCAGGGGCCTTGGGGGCATCATGGGTGCCCACCTGGGGCTCTGGAGACCATAGTTGGCCACGAGGGCCTTTGGGGACATTGTAGGTGCCCACCCAGGGGGTTTGGGGACACCAGGGGCACCCATCAGGGCATTTGGGGAGGTTCTAGATGGGCATCTAGGACCTGAGGGGCAGGATGGGTGGGCATTTGGGTCTTTAGGGACATCATGGATGCCCACCTGGGCCTCTGGAGACCACAGTTGGACGTCATGGGTGCCCACCTGGAGCTCTGGGGACACCACGGGGTGTGGCTGCCCCTTGCTGCATCCCAGAGAAGCTGTGGGTGCCCCCATGGGTGCTGGGGAGGGGGGGGCACCCTGGCTGTCCCCAACCCCTGTCCCCGTGTGTCCCCCCCCAGGAGGAGCAGAAGACCATGAAGTCCAAGATGCGGGAGAAGGTTCGGCCCAAAATGGGCAAAATCGACATCGATTACCAGAAGCTCCACGACGCCTTCTTCAAGTGGCAGACCAAGCCCAAGCTCACCATCCACGGGGACCTCTACTACGAGGTGACCCTCCCCACCCGTGGGTGCCCCCCACCCATAGGTGCCACCCTCCACCCATGGGAGCCACCACCTCAACCATAGGTGCCCCCATCATGGGAGCCACCACCCCAGCCCCATAGGTTCCACCACCCCTCCATGGGAGCCACCACCACACCTCCTGGTGTGACACCATCCCTCATGGGCGACCCCCCACCCCTGGGTGCCTTCACCCCATTCATGGGAGCCACCACCCCATGGGTGCCACCCACCCGAAGGTGACACCACCCCCCATGGGTCCCCCCCTCCCATGGGTGCCCCCCA